TTAAAAACAAAGGCTAAAAATAATGGAAGCCTTATTAATAAAAAAAATCCCCTCCTGCCATCAAACTTACATGTCACTTTTCTGGCCATAGTGACATAAAAATATTTATTAATCCATAATCTACAAGAACCCTTAAAGAAAATTCTGGTCGAAAACACAATAATTTTATATAAATCACATTATCAGAAACATCTCGCTATTCGAGAGGCCCTATATATAAAACTATCCACTCCTGCCATCCAACTTACATGTCACTTTTCAATTATGAAAATTTTTTATATTCCTTGACTATTTCAAAACGGAAAATGTTAGGATGCTGGAAAAACATAATAAAAAATTGATTCAATCTTCCTTGTCGACCGTATTTAATGAAAGATGATTGTAAAAAATGTTGCCAAAATATACATGCTTAATTCACTATAGTTGAAAAAATAGAAACAGACAGAAAAGATAACCTTAGAAAAATACTAGAGGAACATGAAGACAAATGGATTTTGCGCCTCAAAATAATACGCTTCCTGGGCTTAATTAACTTTTAACAACTGAATTAATATAAACCGAGTATAAGTCAAGAGGATTACCCACATTCTCACACACACACAAGATAGACATGCTTGCGGAGCTGTTATATTTCTCACACTTATACACACACACCCATACTAATATATACACTTACACACCTCATACACACTCCCAAAGTACTAAAAGATAACATATACTTAACACACACATCCTATTCCAAGCAACCAATAAAACTGTCAAAATGAAAAAGAAGGGAATACTTAGTATCCTATCCTCTGTTTTAAAAGCAACTTAAAAGAGGCCGTTTGACCAACACAAGGACTTACCAAAATTAACGATAAAAAAAAAACAAACAAAAAAACATTCACTCCTGTAGTTCATTACTACTAACTCGCATGGATTTTCTTTCCTGATGATGGCCATTGTGGCCGAAACTAGTCGAAGAACCTAATTGAAATAATAAAACAAAAAATATTAATATACAACCTAGTGTGTCTGAAAATTTAATTATTTAATATTTTTATTGTTCAAAACACACACACATTCACAAATATATAGGTGTCTGTGAAAAATTAACATGCAGAAAAAGACAATATGAATAAAGGTAAAAGACAATAGAAAAACTGTAATATTAGCCGACGCGTTTCGTCCATTGTGAACTTTTTCAAGGCAAAAACGAAATGAATTTATTAAAAACAAAGTAACTATTATCAACAAACAAAATGCTCTTAGCAACTAGAAGAATTTAGAAAACGCTATTGTATTCATATTGTCAACTGAAAATTACGTCAAGTACTTTCACGTGTAGAAATATTGTTTTTATTGTTGTGGTGATGGGTTCAACCATTTTCTTTTGATTTCTTGATGCAGTTGTTTACATTTGGGAGAGTAGTAATTCTGTTAGGAAAGGTGATATTAGGAAAAAAGACCTGGGTGTAGATTAATATTTGGATAATATTCAATGGCGGCACTCTCGAGGATTTTCCTTCTGTGTGAGTTATTTTCTTTTTTATGATTTTAACATTTTTAAAATCGAAATTGTGGTTGAATTTATTTCTATGTATGACTAGTGCATTACCTAAGTTGTTTTTTGTGAAGTCACTTTTGTGCTCATATAAGCATTTTTTTAAAAAATTTCTGCTTGTTTCTCCAATATATTGGGAAGAACAGTTTTGGCAATATATTTTATAAATGCCTGCTTCAGAAATATTATTGCTATTAAATAATACAATTTTATAGTAAAAAGATCAACAATATATTTTCTAGTAGTATTACCAACAATATGTTTTATAACAAAATGACCAACTGTACATTTTATCTGTAATTGAAGCCATAAATCTGTGTTGAGAATATTTAGGTTTTGACATTACACAACAAATAGCGGTCGATATGCCACTAAAAAAAATCAACCAACCATTCCTCTGTAAACAATACGAATTATTGCTAAGTTTGAATGTAATCTGTCTGTAGGTCATAGTGCTTAATAGCCGGTAATATATTTTTCTTCTCTTCTAAATTTAATTGTTGTATACATATTTAATAGCTTTGTCTTCTGCTTAACACAACAAAGCGATTGCAGCTTCTATTTTTAATAATTTTTCGATTTACAAATTTACGATAAATACCTTTTCCTTGATTTTCTTCATATCTTTTTAAAAAATCGACATCACCCCATTGCAGTAAAGCTACTAAGACACATGAGGTTACAGGGTATGGAAGAATTAGGAAGAGAAACATTAATAATCAGCGGGAATAGAAAAGAGTAATCAGGAAGACAGTAAATAGAGATTGACATTGCATTTAAATTTTTGCAGATTAAAGTTAGCTGAAAAGCATGTAGCTGGAAGGGAGTTCCACAAGTAAGGCAGTAAAACCACTAAGACGCAAGGGGTTACAGGGTGTGGAAGAATTAGGAACAGAAACATTAATAATGAGCGGGAAGAGAAAAGAGTAATCAGGAAGACAGCAGATAGCGATTGACATTACACTTAAATTTTTGTAGATTAAAGTTAGCTGAAATTCATGGATCCAGAAAGGAGTTCCACAAGCGAGAAGTGCGAGAAAGGAAACTGTTAGCATAGAAATTACAGTTACATCTAGCCAGCTCAACTATGAATTGATGAGATCTCGACGACAGTCTAGTACTGCGTTTAAATAAAAAAAAAAAAGTCTAGTTGAAAAATTCAAAATTCTATGAAAATAGTTAAAGGCATACAATTGCAGAGATAAAATATATTTGGCTGAAATAAAATTTGTTGAAAATATTTAGATTTCGGCATTAAATGACGATTATTATTGGAGTAATTTTCGATTGAGGAATAAATTTTAAGAGTTCAAATATCCTTTCCTTTACATTTTCAATACGACTAATTGCCACCCTTAAAAGAGGTATGAATCTTCCTTCCCCATCTATAGGTAAATTGCAGGACAGACTGGGTTTTATAACCTTGAATGGCAACCGGTCTAGGAGAAGGAAAACCTCTGAATTCAAAGCCTGCTTTTGGGGAGGGTTGGCCTCTGTCAGACTATCTTGCCCAAGAAACAGCACTTCTACTGCGACTAAAGTATATATGGTGTGTTTTTTTTTTATCTATGCGTCTTAGGCGATAAAATTAAAATTAAATTTTTTATAGAGGTTGATATGCTACTAAATAAAATCGATTAACCATCCCTCTTTAAACAATACAAATTATTGCTAAGTTTGAATGTAATCTGTCTGTAGGTAAAAAGATTTAATATATTTTCCTTCTCCCTAATTTTAATTATATATATACATATTTAATAGCTTTGTTTTCTCTTGAACACAAAATTTTTTTTATAATTTTTCGATTTATCAATTTACGGTAAGTATTTTTTCTTTGATTTTCTTCATATCTTTTGTAAAAATCGACATCACCCCATTTAAGGCAGTAATCATTTATTTTTTTTAAAAGGGGTTACTACATTTGGAAGAATTAGGTACAGAAACATACAGTTACATTCAAATATATTTAGTTGAAACCATGAAATTGTGTTCAAACTATTTCGATGTCTGCATAAAAAAAACCCCATTAAATCAAATAACCAGCCAATATGAATGAACACTTTCATGACATTAATCCATATAATGACCTATAATTACTTAAATAAAACCGCATTCCAAAATATAATTTGAATAAAACAACACAACAGGTGTTGTAACCTAGTAAGATCTACTGAATGAGGAATAGCCAAAACGAAGTTTGAAAATGAAATAATAATCTTTATAACATCAACAAGATACAATACTCGCCAGCAGTGTGAGGTAGGTAAACCACTGCTAGTGGGACACTACATAGACAGCATTTATCCTCACTTACAATAGTGTCCAACGTATTTATGTGGATTGGTATATATTTTAGTGTTGAAATAGTTAAAGAGGTTTTTATTATATAACAACATATCAGATTTAGTAAAAAATGATTCCACAAACATCTATATGCAAAAAAAGGTATCATCTACCAATATATATATTGAAAAGCAGAATAACATTTTATTATTTCAAAGCTCCAATAAAATTAAAATTTCGGCATTAAATGACCCATAAGGATATTGATATGCCGTTAAACAAATCAAATCAATTAATCAATCATATATATATATATATATATATATATATATATATATATATATATATAAAGTGAACACAGAAGTCAACATTTAGAGGCGACAGTCTGTTTCATGCTAGATGCAATCGTCAGGGTGATTTAGTTTTTTATACAATTTCTCATGTGATCTAATATATTTTTTCTTTTCAAATGATAAATTATATAAAGACAGTCCGAATGTTCGTTTTCCGAGCGCTTTCGGCTATACATTTAGCTATTTTCAAGGATGAAATATTTTAACTGTTAAATAAGAAATAGTTTGTTGCATGTATGTATTTATATAATGTTTTCATTTTTCAAAACACGGTCAAGATATTGTGTCCATGTTAATATTTGTTTATTATATACTTAATTCTACTTTCGTCTTGTTTATAATCTTCATCTTATAAAAAAAAATATTAATGTGATTTATTGTTTATTTAATCTATCTATATATCAAATCTATCTTATTGGGCCTCTTTAAATCTATCTTTTAAATATATCTATCTATCTATCTTTGATAAAATCTATCTGGGCATCTATCTATATATATATCTATATATAATTATCCAGATATAAATCAGATGTTGAAATATTTCAAAGAATCTATTTTGGGTACTTCCCCATTGTGGTTTATAGAAATTCCTTTAACATCTCAATATTTTACTTGGTATTTAGCCAAACTTTTCAGATGTAATTAAAATCGAAAAAATTAAAAAATATGGGCAGAAGGCAATATTATATTCCATGAAATCATTGCAATACAACAGAGAAAAAAAACACTTGAAATTGGGTGGGGGATTTGTTTTGCGTAACACACAATTTAAAAGAATTTGTAATAATTGAATGGGCGGAGGTCAGTTGGTGCTTAGAATGTGCCATGTTCTGAAAATCTATCTATCTATCTATCTATCTATCTATCTATCTATCTATCAAATAATAGTTCAATCTATTATCTATCTATTATCTATCTATTAAAATAATTTAGTTTAGTTTATTCTATTATATATATATATCTATAAATTATATCATATATAAAATGCCTTTCTTTTCTATAAAGCAGTTTTTTCTTTCTAAATTTTTTTTATATATATCTATATATCTATTTAAAATAAATATCTGAGCCTGTTTCTATCTATCTATCTATTTATCTATCTATTATCTATCTATCTATATTAAATATAATATATTCTTTCTTTTTTATTATCGCAGTTTCTTTTCTTTCTTTTTTTTCTTACTATGTATCTATTTATCTATATATCTGAGCATGTTTATAATATATATCTATCTATATATCTATTCATACTTATATATTTATTTCTATCTAAGCCAGTTAAATATCTGTCTATCTATATGGGATATCTATTTATCTAAGCCAAGTTTTTCTTTTCAAAAAGAAATTTTTCTTTTTTTTTTTTTTTGCAATCTATCTATCTATCTATCTATCTATCTATCATTCATTATCTATCTATCTGAGCCTGTTTCTATCTATTTATCTATATATCTGAATCTCTTTATATTTATCTTTTTATCATATTTTCACACTTCTCCTCTGATGGTTAAGACAGATACATTTATTTTACTCTTCTCGGAACAGTCATATTGCGTAAATCCGTCATGATCCCCAAAACAGGTTCTCCAATGAATCCATTAAACACGTATCCAGAGATCGCTAAGCTGATTGGGACCTTACCATGCGCCTGAGTACGCATTTGCTTACATAAACAAACAGATTTCTCAGAGAGATAAATATCTCAAGACCGGGATATAGTCAGTAGCCTCACGTTGTTCACCACGTGTGACTATGTCACATTGACTTTCTCTTAGTTTTATCATATATGCAATAATAACGACATTTAATTTATATTTTTTTTTTCTTAAATTTTTGACCTGTTTTGTCTAATCTATTTTTAAATTAAAGGTAATCATTAGGGCTGTGGATTTCAAATTTTATGCAAATTCTAAATTTAGTGTAAATATTAGGTAACCCCTCGATAAAAAAAACTATATTTTCATACATTCAAGGTTTAAATAGTTTTTCAGCATCCAAATTTTGATGGAATAATTCAAGCATAGAAGGTATGAAAATTAATCATGAAATCAGTTATTTTTTTTTCTTAATAAAAATGTTAATAATATATATATATATATATATATATAGAATATATTTTTATAAAACCAATGCATCGTAATGGATTTTCGTTTTAAAAATGTTAAAATATTAAAAAATATATTATTATGTAAATTATTTTTAAAATAAAATTAATATATATATATATATTAAGAAATGGACAAATTTTATTATATTTATTTATTTAAAGAATTTTTTAAATAACGTTCTTTTTATAGATAAAAAATATTTTTAAATATTTAAATGTTTATAATAAAAATATTTAAATAACATTTTTTTTAAATTGAAAATTTAAACTGTTTGTTATAAAAAAGTCATTTACTTAAATATTTGTATCTATAAAAAAGATAAAATAAAAGTTAAAATATTATAAATATATATATATATATATATATATATATATATATATATATATATATATATATATATATATATATATATTTTGAAAGACAAAACTGAATTTAAAAAAAAATGAATAAAAAAAAATCCAATTTCTTTACTATGAAATTGGGTCACTGTATTAACATATATATGTATATATATTTATATATATTTACTATAAAATATACATATACAAAAAATATAAAGAAAGCATGTTATAAATAATGTACACTTAACTACAAGATTAATGAAAATTATGAATTAATAAAAAAAATAGCAATTATAAAGAATCTAATACATCGTATTTAGAAACTAATTCATCCAAAAAACAGATTTTTTTTACAGTGAACTAAAGAATATAAAACACTTACTTATAATATTTTCAAACTATATAGTTGATGAACAAATAAGATGCTTTCTTAGAAATCAATAAAAAATTGAGTACATAATACTGTTTATACTGATCTCAAACATATTAATCTCCTATATATTATAAGAAAATGCATACTAATTATAAACAAGATGAAAATATACTAAAAAAAATTTAGTAAATTCTAATATATCAACTACAGATCCTAAAAAAAAAAATAAATTAATCATATACTACACTAAATCTAGTATATCCAACTTAATTCTTGCAATAAATTCTTCTCCCCGGTTAACGATTTGCAAAAAAACCAACATAGTTTATAAATTCAATGCCCTTTGGGAGAGTGTATCTCCAACGAATTAAATAATATTTATGTTGGTCACACCACAAACTCGCTTTCACGACGCTTGACACTACATTTGAATGAAAACTCTAACATTTTTAGGCTTTTTAAAAAACAAATGCCTGCCTGCACAAACAATTCCGTAAAATACTTGTCGAAAACACAATTATACTTCGACATGAAAACAATAGACAAAAAAAAAAAATCCTTGAAGCATTATACATCAAACAGTTGAAACCCAACCTAAACAAAATCAACTATGGAAATCTCTACAAATATTCTTAAATCTATATTTATAATTGGTAACAGAAGCCATTGGTTTATACCAACGGCTTTCCATACTTATACTTCATACTTCTCAATTCACTCTCGTGTGGTCATATGTGACGTCATGAGATGCGGTGCGATTTTCGCTTCTAGCGTCTTATATGCACGTGTTTATCGTTGCTTAGAAATCATCTATGTAAACAATGACAGACTATCATCACTGTCTTGTCCGTATATTGTTTAATAATTTGTAATTGACATCTTGATAATGGCTTATGTAATCCGAAAGTTTAGATTATATTAAAAAAAAAATATGGATCAATATTGTGAATTTCTTTCTTCGTTCAATGATAATGTTATTAAACTTATCAGACGTTACGAAAAAAATTTACATAAAATAAATAGACAACACTTGTCTATATTATTTAATGAAACATGTATATATATATATATATATATATATATATATATATATATATATATATATATATATATATAAAATATATATATATATTTATTTAGAGAAAATATATATGTATATACAAAAAGATATTTAAAAAGAAAAATTACAAATTTTTTTTATTAATAAGATATTTCATTTTTTTTTAAACACAAAAAATATTATTTTATTTTCTATATATTTTTAAAAATTTAAAAATGTCTGGATGTATTCAGGAAAAGTTGGATTTCCAAATATTATTAAAAATAATTAATTTTTCTTATGTTTTTCAATGTTAAATATTCTCGATGTGAGATATTCTCTCTTTTTGTGTAAATAATATAATATATTTTTTTTTTCAAATTGGCTTTAAAGAACGGAATTGTGCGAAGGGCAAATAAAAAATTTTGTTATTAAAAGAAAATGATGAATAAACTTATCGAAATATTTTATTTTTAATGTTTTAATGACTCCTGTGTGTTCTTAGATTAAAAAATTTTTTCCAGGATTTTGTGTTTTAAAAACATTATATATATATATATATATATATATATATTCCCCATACATATACTATCTTTTAAACGTATAGAATTTATTAAATAAATTTGTACACAAATATACATAAATATAAGTAATATTTTATATACGCCCATACAAACCGTTATACCAAATATTTAATCTCAACGTTACAATATTGGGAACAAAAAAAACATTTTGCGGCACCTATCTTTTTTTCAAATATATTATATATATAATATATATATATATATATATATATATATATATATATATATTTTTTAAAATATTTGCAGCATTTCATCTTTTAAACAAATATTTTTTTAAACGCCAAATTAAAACATATATTAACAAATTTTTTTTTTGTATTTTCAATTTCAATATTGAAAATGAAATTTTTTGAAAAAAAATTATATTAATATATATATATATATATAAAATATATATGAAAAATTTAGAACGTCATCGTTCATCATCACAGGCCAATTTATTTTTTTTTTCATATGCCAAAAAAAAAATTGGAATTTTAATAAAAATATTAAAACAATACGAATCAAATAAACGTTACGAAAATTTTTTTAATAACAAAAACAAATGAAATGTTTCAAAATTAAATGAAAAATTTAAATTTTTTTGGTGAATTTTTTTTTTTTGTAAAAACCAAAAATTAAAATGAAGAATATAAAAAAAATCAAAAAAGTTCAATTGGAAATGATTAAGATATTATCAAATTAATTAATAAATAATTATAGACATTGAAGGGTGTTTCAGAAATATTATTCTTATATAATAATAACGGTTTTTCTATGAATAATTTTGATAATATTATTTGATATTTTTTTTTTAAAAACAAGAAAATTCACCCAAAAAATTAATTGGAAAAATAAATTACCTCTCTTAATTATAGGACAAATAATGCATTATACAAAACAGTATGGAAAAAAGGACCTTTAATTTATAATATACCATAATGTTTTTCCTGTTTGATTTTGAATTAAAAAAAATTTAATATATATTATATAAATTTAAAATTAACCTTTTTTAATGACAATTTTTTTATCAAATCATATTTTTATCAATGATTGATAATTTAAATATTCTAAATGATTTAAATGTGGAATTTTTTTGAAAAATATTCTTTTATCCCATTATATTAATTGGATTTTGTACTTATAAAAATATCCAGACGATTATATATACATTAAAAATATTTCTATATCCATTAAACAACATCTTATATAAATATAATATTTATTTATCTGCATTTTTATTTAAAAAAAATTTATAGACAATACTTAAAATTTTTTGATCAACATACAGGCATTAGAAAAAATTTAAATTTTATTTGAGACAATACATAAATATATAAGCAATATAGACCTATTATTAATCCCAAATTTATATATATAATCTTTTTAAAAAAAGCCCCTATTGATGAACGATGAAATTCGATTTATTTTCGGTAAAAATTTTTTGGAATTATATATATATATATCATTCAATATAATTTTGAAATAAAAAGATTTAATTTTGGAAATATGAGAAAATACAAAAAAAAAATCAAAAATTTAGGATATGATTGTTTCAACCAAAAATAAAAAATCGTTTAAAAATATATATATATATATATATATATATATATATATATATATATATATATATATTATATTCTGATATAAAAGTCTGATAATCTGAATTTAAAAAGGGTTGTTTAAAAATAATTTATGAACATGGAACACAAAAAAAAATTGTGTTTAATTCAAACATATTTTTTGAACTTAAATTGAAAATATAGACAATATAAGAATTTTATTTATTAGAAATATTTCGGATTATCTAGTTTTGATAATATAAATATATATATATATATATATATATATATATATATATATATATATATATATATATGAAGAAATATAGTCTTAAGGTGTGCTATATTTATGGGATAAAGTGCTCAATATAGATAGATATATGTATAAATATAAAAGTGAACATAGAAGTCAACACTTAGAGGCGACAGTCTGTTTCATGCTAGATGCAATCGTCAGGCCACGAGTGTTGTTTTTTTTCTCGGCTATTTTATATATACGGGTCAGTGGTGCATTGTGGGTAGTCTATTTTGGCGGTTATTTTACCGGAAGTCGTTTATTTGTTTATTT